GTGCTCTCTCTCTCCCTCATTTACCCTGTACTCATCTCTCTCTCTCTCTCTCTCTATATATATATATATGTACATGCGCGCGCGCACACACACACAAACTAAATGTATGACAAAAGCATGCTTAAACCTCCTGTTTGGTCACTTTTTCTTTTCTTCTTTTTTTCCCAATAACCAAACGGGATATTTTGTTGATTTGAAGATCATGTCAAATGCGTGGATTTTGCTTCTATCTCGAGAAAGTAATTATGAAATTACACCCTGATTATGTCAAATTGACAAGATTGTGTGCGGGAAAGAATGATGAATATCTTGTGATGCATTTAATTTTATGTGTTTCGTTGCCATGGAATTCAGACTTGTTTGCTTGCGGGTGTTAGCGTCAGGAAGCTCAAGCTATTTTCTTCAATTGATGTCAAGGAATGCCAAAACAGGTACTATTTTGTGGCTACATAAGTTTGTATACTGTGTGTCACTCTATATAATGTCTTTGAATTGAACTAATTCCCCCATCTCAGGAGGACAACATTTTGTTCGTTGTTTTTATTTGATATAGGATTTAGTGTGTGTGTTAGGCATTTAGCTTAGGTGTATGGATCTAGGGCTTGGCTTTTCTCAAGTTGTCATCTCAACTTGATAGGGTGCTTGGGCTTGATAGTTCTATTTTGGGATAAATTTTGGTGATCCGAACCGTCGTTGCATAGAATATTCATGCAAACAAATAAAGATAATTAGACATGGACAACTATAAGTTTGAATCATATTTGTTTTAAAAAAGTGGGCGACAAATATAATTTTAAGAATAGCCATCCATTTTTTTGTAATACAAATTTGATTTAAGTATAGAACTACTGATATTCATTCACTTGATTTTTAGCGTGAACATTTTACTTAACAAATCCTAAAAAGTGAATGGTTCGGATCACCGAAATCGGGCTCAAAATTGGCCTACCAACCAAACACGCTCTTAAGTTGAGATGGCCAACTCGAGAGAAGCCAGACCCTAGATCTAAGTGTTGAATTGCTTCGAAGATTCAACACATTTAGAAGACAATGTGATGTGATGCATGATCATATCCAATCTTTGGGAAAATTGCATAAGCGTATTGCATTGATTGAGAACACATTAGTTTTAGGGCACATTTTTCCATTGAATACTTATTGTGTCATTTGGCAGTAAGTGAAAGTCAAAAAGTCAATTTCTGACACTTAATTTCTTGGAGGAGCTGTGAATACCCAAAGTGTTTGTCAAAACATCTAAAGTTAAAGTTATTACGATCAATCTTTTTTTGCATATTCTAATTAGATGCTAAGAGTGGAACTATGACATTTCAGGTTTTAGCATATACTGTATATAGGAGAAGTTTCCATTTTTAGCTAATCCAAAAAACTCATATTTTGTTCTTGGTAGGAGGAGTTGACTTTTATTTTATTTGGAATTTCATTATTTTGATATTTCCATCAAATTCAAATGGAGGTTTACAATATCCTATTATTTATGTGTACGTCTTGACTTAAATGGAAATGGAAATGCAAATGGTAAAATGAGGACATTCACTCTAATAATATGAAGAGTAAACAAGTCATGAGATGTGCCATAGTATTTAAGCTGTGACTATAATTAGATCAACTGCAAAAGAAACTAGTGAATTTCCAATTATTGTAGAGTTGCATCAAGGGTTAGCTTTAGGTAATCCTTACCTATTTGTCTTAGTCATGAATTAATTAACTAAATATGTTCAGGATTATGCTGGTGCAAATCCTTCGGAATGACGATGATGATGACTAATGTTTAGAATAGCAGCTTGCAATATTACACTTCGAGTTACGTTACGAACGTCGCTTTCTTAAAGATAATATTTGTCCCCAACAGATGGTGTGCACCAAGTTACCAGCAAATCCGCCTATCAGGATACAACGAAGTTGATCTAAAGATCTTTTGTCTACATTTGCACAAACGAAGACAGATCGGAATGCCTTTGTTTAAAACAAAAGCTAGAGAATCGGGGTTTGATATTTTGTTTCTTCAGAATAACAAAATATCAAATAATAGAAAGCTCTTGATTGAAAATTTGAAATCGAGAGAGAGAGAGAGAGAGAATAGATTTTAGAACTTGTCTATCAAATTTATTGGATAGAATGAATTGAATGGCCTGATCACATGCCTATTTATAGACCTGGATGCACCCGATTGGAAGGATCATGATCTTTGATCGCACCTAATCAGATATGATTGTTGGATCAAGTTCTAATGGTCTAGATCTTGTCTTACTCAAATGGGTGTAGTGATGAGACACATCCAATCGTGAGCGGGTGCAATTTGCACCGCACGATCGCGTGCTTAGACGATCAACGACCTCGACTACACCATTCTGAAGGGTTTGTATCAGGTGATAAAGGGGTAAGAGTTTGAGTATAAAAAATGAGATTGTGGCACTGTTTTATGGGCTGTTATGAGGCTGTAAACAGTGACTCGTGAACTGTAATCTAAGAATAGTAAAATGAAACAGAAAGAAGAAGAAAGAAGACAAGAAGAAGAAGAAAGATAAGTCTAGGAATCACTCTTAAAATTCCTTAGGCATCGCATCTAGGGTTTGATTGCATCACACAATCCATAAGATGCTTCAAAAGCTCTGAAAATTCCCTAAAATATCAATTCTATTGAATTAGAAGCGTTACGTGACTTTATATAGACGTTAGAGACTTCCTAAACCAATTAGAACAAAAAAAGGATACTATAATATCTTAGACTTCTGAAACTAATTTAAAACCAAATAAGAAGCATAAATAAAACTCAATTAAATAACTTGACCCCCAAGGTGACCCATGGGTGACCCCTACAACCCATAACAACAATAATAAAAATTATCAAAATACCCTTGACCAAAAAATTCTATAAAACATAAAAATAATCATAAAATAAGGCGCTAATAATACTAGAAACATTATTATATAAAATTCCTATTAGGATCTCTTTGAAATCATGCCAATGTCAAAATATAATCCCTTATTTGAATATAGCATTCTTTGAGCTTCTTATATCTTGCATTAGACATACCACCATTTGATTGGATGCGCCACCTCATTGCCATGTGGTGCTAACTGTGTTGCAAATCAGTGCCACCACATGCCAACCTGGACCATGCCACATCATCGACACGCAGACATTTTGAACCCACTAGAAAGCGTCTCCATAGTGCCTCGCACGATGCGTTTGTGCTAAGTGCAAAGTGCACTATCAAATGCCACATAGCCTACTACCCACGCCACGCACATGCGCGTGTGCAAATGGTGCGAAGCTGTGACGCCCTCAAAATAATAGATAGAACCCATCTCATTAGACAAGCATTTATATATATAAGATCCACATTCTTCAATTCATCAGAGTATTTATTTCCAAAAGTATTACATGTTAACAACAAAAGCAAATGCCCTACGGGCTTACAGCTTTCCAAGTTAACACTTGGTTACAAAAAAAAAGAGTACTAACTCAATTACACATTAAGCCCTTGGTTTGGATTTACATGTAATACATCAAAAGGATATAAGACAACAAAAGTCTGTCCGCCTCTAGCCTCCCAAGCTATGTCCTTGGAGGTGGCATCCTACCTGTACCTGAAAATGATGTTCCCATATAGGGTGAGCCACAACCCAGTGGAAATACACTAAACCAAATATGAACAGTGACTAAAAGATTAGCAGTTGATAGATGGCGAACACTGATACTTTCACTTATAACACTTTACAGTTTCATGACATACAAGTCCATGTTACAGTCCATTTTTTTAATTCCTTTCAATTCTCAATTTACAACCATGGCTCAGAACCTGGCCAAACAACTTATATGAGACAGTAACTCATATTAAACACTTTCCCATTTCATAATAGATAAGCATACTAGCTATATCACACACGAACAGATAAGCATACAAGCTATATCATCACTTACATAGATATGCATAAGAGCACTATCACACTTCCCAGGACAAGCATATGAGCTGTGTCAACACATTATGTTAGAGTTTACCTACACCAACCACCACCTACTACCACACCTACTACACCTACCACCAATTTACCCTCACCTACTCCTCACCTACTACCCAAACCCTCTCCTATATAATGAGCCACTCTGATTTGTAATATAATACATCAATACATCAATCAATTCATCAATCAATAATACATCTATTTTAACATGGTATCAGAGCAAGGTTAAGAACTTAGTATTTTTTTTCGCTTCACCGGCGGGCGGCAACCTCGCCTTGGTCGCCCGCCGGACCTCAACCTAATCCGCTTATTGTTTTTACACATACCTTCACTTTCCTGCATCTTCCAGCTCATCAACAAAAATCACCACCGCCTACCACGGCTTCGCCGCCGCTCTCGCTCCACACCACTCGAACCCCTGCGTTTCTCGGTCTCGACACCCAGATGGGTTTATGGGATGGTCCTCACACGGCGACCGAGGAGCCAATGTGGCTTTGGATGTACTTCAAATGCCTCCGGTCACATGTTCGAAGATTTAGGTCAACCTTCGTGGACCCCCAAGGAGTAGACACAGATGATCCCTTTGATTGTGATTCACAAGAGAGGGACCTGCTCGTAGTCTTGTGGGACGACCATGATAATTTATGCATGCGATGCCTTGATCTGTAGGACTTTTGAGTATCATCGGATGCTAACTCGCCCAAATCTGAGCCATTCCACTGCACATTCTCAAATTCAAGGTCATCATCATCCTCATTACCAGTAGGAGCTTCAATCACACTAAGGGCCTTCCTTTGTAGCTTTACCTCTATGCCATTTGTAAGAACCACGCCTCGGAGACCAACGAGCACCGACTTGGTCCGGTTGTTACCAGTCACAACGACCTTGGTGTGACGTGGTATGACGTGGCAGAACAGAGAGCTCTTCTTCGTTGCTATCTCCACAACTCTGCAACTGCGAAAATCCGCCATTGACGGAACTCTCCACAGCTCTCACGCTCTTTCCAGCAGGGTATAAGTTTTCATGAGCTTCCGCTGAAACCACGACTGTCTTTCTTCATCTTTCCCATCTCCATTTCTCGAGTGGTTTGTTCGATACTTGAGCCAGACGGATTCAAACCATATTCACTAGTTGATCCACTGTACTCTCCTTCGGGTTGGATCACACAGGGGGGGACATGGCACACACTGTCACTCTCTCTCTCTAATAATCAAACCCACACATTCTTTTTTTAATCAACCGACCAAACCCTCTTTACACTGTCACTCTCTCTCTCTCTAATAATCAAACCCACACATTCTTTTTTTAATCAACCGACCAAACCCTCTTTATCTTTTATCTATATATATCTATCTGTATAATTCTTTATGCATGTGCTCCTACCCCAGCTGGCAGACACCACTCAATACACTCCACTTTCTTTCTTTTATCTTATTTATTTATTTATTTATTTATTTTTTACATTAAAAAAAAAATCAAAATCATTTTATTCATGTTGATGGCACAAAAACAAAACACCAAAATTCATGTTGATGGCACAAAAACAAAACACCAAAAAACAGCAGAAGAAGAAGAACTGCTACCACACTCATTTTATTCATGTTGGGGCTCACCCTGATCACCATTTTACAACCACACCAAAAAAAAAAAAAAAACAACTCAACAACAACAAACAAAAACAAACACACACCCACACCACAGGTGGATTTTCCTGTCTCTACTCTGCTGCGCGTCTCTTCTTCTTGCTCCGATCCTGCCGCCCTCAGACGGTGCCTGCCTTCCGTGTTTATTACGCCACGAGCACGTTCACTCCCCCATACTCCTCCACTGCAAGCATATGGACGGACCATCAATCGGAAACCATCACGGTGGCCTTCCGCTTCCAGCCCTGTTTTTCTGCCCTTAGCAGCCTTATCTGCTGCTGCGGAATCGCTTAATACATGCGTTGGAGCAGACCAGCGGAGTTTAAATGCTGCAATACTCTTGTCCTACTCTGCAAGCGGTTCGACAAGTTTGTGACCGCCGTCAATGGTTTTCACACATGGACTTCAAAGTATACTTGATTGGCCTCCACATCCGACTGCACTGCCCATTCTTTTGCTCCACCAGGACCGCATTCAGGAAAGTTCAACGAGCAACACTCCGGGGCCGCCCTTGGTGAGGTTCCGTGCCAACCACACCAGTTAATCTCTCTTGTTGACTCGTTGAGGTCGGGAAGAGAGTGAAGCAGACTACGGCGAAGACGAAGCCTATTTTTTTTTCTGGGTTACAGATGTGTTTACCGAGTCTTTAGAATGCAACAATTTTCAGAGGTTCTCCTCAGTTTCTTTGTCTCAGCCTCTGCGTCGGCTCAGCCTTCGTCTTGGTTAAATAGCCAAGGCAGCCATCGAGCGATCAGCGCGCCCTTGACGAGACGACCAAACTGGGCGCGCCAGCCAAGAGCACTCACCGTGCCTCGCATCATGTCACGGCACAACTTTTGGATGGCACGCTTTTTAATGACTTGGGCACGCCTTTTGCATGGCCGCCTTTTGAAAAAAAATTGGCAACACCTTTTGGAGGGTGCGACTTTTTAAGGGTCCCGACAAGGACTCTGTAACTGTCCCACATTGATTCGGTTAGCTCCTTTACTGGCGTCCGACAAGGACTCTGTACAACTTCCGACATAGATTCGGTTAGTTTCTACAAGGGTCCGACCAAACTCTGTAAACTGGTCCCGAATTGTTTCCGGTTAAATTTTTTCTACACAGGGTCCGACAAGACTCTGTAAATGGTCTCCGACATTGATTCGGTTAGCTCCTTTAAGGGTCCGACAAGACTCTATAAAAACTGTCCGCATAGATTTCCGGTAGTTTTCTACAAAGGGTCAGCAAGACTCGTAACTGTCACACATGTCCAACATTGTCTGCTACAACGGTCCGACATTGACCCCATAAACTGTCTCTTACAACGGTCCCGACATGAACCCCAAAACTGTTCTCTACAACGTCCGACATGGACCCCATAAAATGTTTCGATACATCGTCTGACACCGCCTCCAGTGTCCTCTACGACCGTTATGACACCACATCTAACTGTCCTCTACAACGTTATGACACCACCATTCAGTGTCTTCACCAACGGTCTGACACGACCATCCAGTGTCTCCTATCCTTTTTTATTTTTATGTATTTTCTTGTTTTGTTCCTCTCTTCAAACTCAAGTTGGTTAGTTTCTATCCTCCTTGAGTTTGCGGGGGGCTGTTAGAATTTACCTACACCTACCACCACCTACTACCCCACCTACTACACCTACCACCAATTTACCCTCACCTACTCCTCACCTACTACCCAAACCCTCTCCTATATAATGAGCCACTCTGATTTGTAATATAATACATCAATACATCAATCAATTCATCAATCAATAATACATCTATTTTAGCAACCTACTACCACACCTACTACACCTACCACCAATTTACCCTCACCTACTCCTCACCTACTACCCAAACCCTCTCCTATATAATGAGCCACTCTGATTTGTAATATAATACATCAATACATCAATCAATTCATCAATCAATAATACATCTATTTTAACACATTATTAGATAAGCATATGAGCTCTATCTATGGAGTCCATCCCCTATCTTCTCCCAACAACATCCGGTTTAGAGGTCCATCCTCTATCTCCCCCTAAACTGTGAAGTACATCCCCTATCTCCTCCAACACGACACAATGCATATAAACAATAATTATACACATCATCAAACAATACATAAGTTTAATGTATTATTTCGACCGTCATACTCAATGACACATTTCAGTGATTAGTTTCAGTTTGCCTAATCATCATGCATTGTCTACAACAATCAAGACTATCCTCCACCGATAGACCAAAACAGCTATTTCTATACAGAAAATAAATGCAACAATGGATATATAATCAACATTTCAACTAGGTGAGTGATAAATAATCCAACCACACTCTTTAATCCCATACATTTCCAAATCAATTCCTCATTTCTCATAATTAATTATACGAATTAATTAACCAATGTAATTAGGGCATTTTTCATAATTAACATTACAACCCTTAGGTTCCATTTTCATTAATGTTTCAACATTAATTTCACTTTTCCACGCCAAACATGCATCTAGGTTTTAGATAGTTAAAACCCCAACTTTTGTAAATTTACACAAAAATCCCAAACTTTCACAAAATTACCAAACCAACCCTAACATCTCAAAATACTAAAATTTAAAGACAAAGCTCATAGTGAGGAGTAGGTTATCCCTACCTCAAAAGATGACTCCCAACCAAGAAGGTGAAGAAAACGAAAATGCTCCAACCCACGAATTTCTCGGATCAAAAGATAGTCCTCGACGATCAACAACCTTTTTGTAAAGGCCAAAAATCAACAACCTTTTTGCAAAGGCCAAAAGTGAGGAAATCACTCCTATTAGATCAATACCTAGAGAGAAGGTAGAGTTCTAGAGTGAGAAGCTCAACAATGGGGTTTTTGGGAAAGTAAGAGAGAAGAAAAGTGAAAAAGTGATTTAAAAAGACCCAGCGGATAACTCATATACGCATGACCCGCTCGAGCGTAGAATAGAGCGCTCGAGCGTAAAGCGCAAACATCTGGTCCCACTCGAGCGCATAGATAACCGCTCGAGCGTCAAGAAACAAAAGCAAAACACATCCGCTCGAGCGTGAAAACCAGTCCGCTCGAGCGCAGATTTTCATCTTCCAGAACTTTACAGGAAAAGGACTACCCGCTCGAGCTCCAGCAATACCGCTCGAGCGCGACCCGCTCGTGTGCAATAAACCCGCTTGAGCGTAGAAAACACACCTGCAGAAGTTTTGCAGGGCCACGAAATGCTGGAAGTGTGTAATCCCCGCTCGAGCGCAAGAAGACCCGCTCGAGCGGAACGCCTAAAAACTGGGCAATAAGGAATTGAAAGCAAGGCCTAACCACCTGTAACAACCTTGCCCAAAACATCCTAAAACTCTCACAAATGGAATTAAAGGACGACAACCAGATATACAACTACCAACTCCATGGAACTGAGTCCGGAATACAACAGAACAGTAAAGGGACAACCGGGATCGCTATAGAAGCACCATCCTTATGGTGTGTGAGCATACACTTTAGCACCTTTCCTACAATTTCTTATTCAAGGGAATGTTTCATGTGAGTGTTTATTAACTTTACAACTTTCTATTATGTTTTCGATGTGGGACAAGCTATAAAGCTAAAAGAGCTTTCCAAAGAGAATAAGGAAGGTTTTGAAAAAGAATAAAAAACGAACCCATTTTATTTTTAAAAATTCCCCAACAATCTAGATCTTACTATTGAAGAATTGGCTTAACACCTCCTTGTGGAGGAAGAGTCAAGGCATCAAGAAAGTAAGGAAGAACTAGGAAAAAAAGCCAAGTAGTATTCTCGGAAGCAAAAGTTTCAGAGGAGCAATGACCCAAACACAAAGAAGAAGGGTGAATGCTAGCACTATGGTAAAGCAAGGCATTACAAGCAAGATTGTCGGTCTCTCAAGAAGAAGAAACTAGGAGCATTGGAGCCAAAAAAGAATTTCGTGGTAGTCATTTCGGAGGTGAATCTCCTCGAAGACATTGGAGACTGGTAGATCGACTCATGCGCTACAAGGCATGTTTGCAATGACAAGAAGCTTTCACTACCTATCAGATGACTTAGTTCTTTACATGGGAAACTCCTCAACTGCCGCAGTCAAAAGAAAGGAAAATGGTGGATCTGTTGTTCACTTCCAGGAATATCCTGACGCTTATTGACGTGTATCATGTACTAGAAGTCTGACAGAATCTTGTATCTGGAAGCCTGCTTAATAAGAATGACTTCAAGATAGTTTTTGAGTAGGACAAATTTGTCCTGTCTAAGGGTGGTACTTTTGTTGGGAAGAGTTAGTTGTATGAGGGGACGATTAAACTCAATATTGATAATATTCTTAGTTCTGCTTACCTGCTTGATTATTGACTCTTCCTCCACATGGAGGTGTTGAGCCAATTCCTCAATTGTAAGATCTCGAAAATTCCCCAACAATCCCTTACCATTTTCAAAATAAAGAAGTCCTAATTCTCTTGGTAGACTTGTGCATAAGCAAGAGGTATCTTACGACTTGAACTATTCAATTAGTGAAACACATTAAAGTTTGTCTGGATGGCATAGTAGACGTATCTTTGAACTAGCGATCCACAATGACTAATCAGACACATTTCACACACAATTCTAAAATGACAAAGGTATTAAAAAAAGCTAACACGTGGATTGGCCTTGTGTCTGTTATAAACAAAGGTAATGATCTGTATTATTGAATGATGAACCAAAGGGGCTTAGTACAATATGTACACTAAACTATTAAAACCCTAATATCCTAATTACAAGAAGAAGACTAAACTACCCTTAATTAAGATAGAGAATAACACTAATATAAAATACATATTCACACCCCC